ATTATATATATGTATATATATATATATATATATATATATACATATATATAATATATTTGTGTAATAATCCGCTCAAGTTTAAGAAATATCAAAAATTATGTTTATATAATTAAATGCTAAAATGTATCTTAGAAATGTTTCAAAACGCTTAAGAATAAAAATGCGTTATAATAAATGTCGCATATAATAATAAGGTTATTATATATTGGCATATTAATATCATTATAAATAACGCCAAAATATATCTAGAAAGCGTATATTACGTGACGTATAAATGCAATATTATTTATTTTGTATTATATAATGCGTGTTTAAATTTTTATTCGAATGTGCCATGTGAGATATTATTGAAATGTGCAAAATGTGAAAAGATAAAATATATGTATGCATATAATACATACATATTCCATTCAAGTTTTTACATTACAAGTTCGGAAGCTTAAATGATTTTCAATCTAAAAACAATATGATTTATAGTGTAAGGAAACATAAGTAATATAAAAATATAAAAATATCTTTTATAAGCATATTATATTTACATTATCTGGAAATCATTTTAATAATACTAATTAACAATTAAATATTACTTTGAATATTTCTTTCACTTTCAGATTATAGATTAAAAGCTCCAAAATAGTATCTAATTACTGTAATGATATTATAGTGTAATATAATTATTATAATTACTTTAATTACACTAATTTTATTACAATATATATATTTTATTATACATGTTGATAAACGCCACATCTGTACGTATTTTATAAAATTGCGAAATAAAATATTGTTTATTTTTTCAAAATCAATAATTTTTGCCTAATATGACTATATGCATATTATTTCGTCTTCTTTTGTAAAAATCTCCTTTTTTATAAAATCATTTATAATTTTGCGGTAAATTAATATTTTCCAGACAACAAAAAGAAGACATAAATAATAAGACGTTTTTTATGTCTAAAAGATAATTTAAAGACGTCACAATTTTAGACCTTGTGTTGTATCTTTAGATTTCTCTTTTATTGAAATATCTTAATCTGATATATCTTATGTTCTTCGATTAAATTCTCAATCAAAATGATAATTAAATATATTGACTTTTGTGTACTCCTTCCCGAATTTCCAGTACGCTAAAATGGAAAAATTGTTGATACTATAAATTCCTAAACGCATTAAACTATTAAAAATCGCACGAAAGAATGGAGACCACCAAGCATCAGGTCGTACTAAATATTTCAACACGAAGTGATATGTGTTCAACCGGTACCAGCTGTAAAACGGCATAGATGACATATCTGAAAATATATTATTAT